TACTTTAAGGTCTACTTAGTAGCGTAGACGCCGCCGCGGATAGCGTTAAAGCCGTCGCCGTAGTTTTATATATCGGCCGTTTACTAACTATAGCCGGCGCTACTACCGCTAGCGCTATAGTCGCTATCCTTAAGGTACGTCGACGATAAGGCACCCTTATTAGATATAGTATAGCCTAGCGATATATAGAGGGTAACGGTGCCCTTATCCTATAGGTTAACGCCCTCGATAATATCGATTTTGCCCGACGTAGGCTAGTTAGGGCTAAATATCTAAATAGCGGGCTAGACGCCGTAGGCGGCGTTAGGTATATAGGCAATATCGGCGAGGAAGAAACTATAGGTAAAGGACCGCTACGAGGTAACGCGGACCGACCTATAGCTATTAATAGGGTTAACCGTCTTATAGTCGACGCCTAAGATAATAGTGCCGTTATTAGCCTTACTATAGCTATAGCTACTATTACCCTAGCTATAGCTAATAAGGCCGTCTTACTAGGCCGTAGCCTAGTTAACGTACTTAATAAAGCTATATAATAGGTCGGGCTCTATAAAGAAGTCGAAGGCCTAGAAGAAGTTTTTCCTATTATAGGTAGTATCGAGTAAGTACTAGGACTAAGGCTAAGCCCTAGCCTAGATAGCGCCGGCGGCGAAGAGAAGGCCTCTAAGTACTATAGCGAGATAATAAGCTAATAATTATATTATAGTTTATTTATACGCTATATCTTTCCGGTTTTATTTTCCTCTTAAATCGAAAGGTATAGCTTACCGCGTAAACCGATTAAGGCGATATTAGGCTATAAAGTAAGCAATAAGGGTCGGGGGCTTTAAGTAAGTCGATTAAGAAATAAAGATAAATAGTAAAAAGTAGTATTATTTTTTTATAATTATAAAGTTAAGGTCGTGCGGTAAAGCTACCGGAGCTATATATAAAGAAGTAGCTAGTTAAGAAAGAAGGTAAAACTAACGAGGTTAAATTAAACTAAAGGTTAGCTACGTAGTAAAGAGAGAAGATAGGTAGGAAGAAGAGGTAGTATTTTATTAAAGAAGAAGATTTTAAAATAATAATAAAAGTCCCTTAGAATTAAATAAGAGGTGTCCGCGATAGGAAGATAAAAGGATTAAAATATTTTCTATTCTTCTTTAATAATAAAGGAGGGCGGGCATTATATATTAGGAATAAGGAATAATATTAATAAAAAATAACTAGCTATAGGAAGGATTAAACGGTAAAGATATATAAGACGTCGACGGCGGCTTAACGCTAAAAGAGAAAGAAAGGCTAGGGGGGTAAAGAAAGGAAAGGCTAGTAGGGAGGAGGAGGAAGGATAGAAAGGAAAAGGGGTAGAAGAAAAAGAAGAAGAAGACGGTAGTAAATAGTAAGGTCTTATAGGGGAATATATATATTCTATATAATAAAGGAAGGTAATATCGACGATAGTACCTGCCCTTAGCTAAATAAGCGAATTCTCCGCGTACTTACTATTTTCTTCGGTCTACAATTCTTATCCCTACTTCTTCTTCTCCTCCCTACGCGTATATAATCCCTTCTTACTCCTTATCCGCCTTATCGGAGCCTTCTCCCTAGGTTAGTTGTTAGCTATATGGGCCCGCGCTTTTCGTAGAATTCTAGCGCGTAGTAGTACTTAAATAGCCGCGTCTAGTCGTTAAGAGTAGATTTAAGGGGGGGCTAATTACGGGGCTAAACGGCCGTGCCTAGGCCGCTACTACCCTTAGTAAGAGGATACTTACTATAGGGCCCCGAGGCCCCTAGGGAGGGGTAGTACTTATAAGTACTAAGGCGGACCCTACGCTATACCCTAGGAGGACGGTAAAATAAGGTAGCGCGTCGGTTTAGTAAAGGTCGCTAGTTAGGCGGATAGGCTAAAGTATTAATCCTATTAATTACTAGGTTTAATATAAAGAGTTATAGTAGTCGTGCTTATACTTAATGCTCGGAGCGATAGAAAGTATATATAAAGTACCTCTAAAGGGTCCCCCGCTATATATCGGCTAACCCCGCCCCCTATATTAAAGCTAAGATATAAGATTATAAGGGCTTTTTTTAAGTCTAGATCTTAGAAAGATCCGCGATAACTTTATACTACCTCTCTATTAATTATTTATATATAATTATATACTACTTAGTAGTTTAGCCGAGTACGTATTATACCTACGTATTATACGTAAATATATAGTATTCCCTAAGGCACGAGCCCGCTATCTTTCTCCTTAGCAAAGGCACGTGCTAGCACCCACCCGCTAGAGCACCAGCGTCGCAATGCTACGTAGGCGCCTCCTACCTAGGTAGTAGCACGGCGTCTCTTAGCGTACCGTTCTACGTCTATCGCCCGCAGAGAACTACTTATCCCTACTCTCTTATACACTCTCTCTCCTACTTACTTATTATCACTTACTTACTTACCTACGCACACTTATCACGACCCTACGCGCTAGCGTAGAGACACTAGCGCAGAACCTTACTAGTATCACGTGCCCAAGTAGCGTCACGTGCCTACGTGCGACCTCGTGCTTACCTGAGCGCTGCTAAGGTAACCTCGTGCATATGCATATAAGGGCTAGCTCGGTCGTATAGTCTAGTCTTTCTTTCTTGCTCCTTAGCTTTAAGTCTTCGTTCATAGTGCCAATATATCTTTACGGAGGAAGCCTTTAAAAGTTATCGGCCACGCTAAATTAGACCCTATAAGGAAAAAGGAAGTAGCAACCAAATTACTATAGCACCGTTCCTAGCTTATACCTAATCTAGCCTGCCCTCGCGATATTCGTTGCCGCCCTTAAGTTTAATTATTTTCTGCATATAACGAGGGATTCGTTCGATCTAAGCCTATATCTTCTCTTACGGTAGCTCCTTCTAAGCAAGATCCTAAGCCGTGATAGCCTTAGCTCGGCTCTTTAGCGCGCCCTTCTTTATAGTCGTTCTTTTCATCTATAGCCAAGCTGGCTTAATAGCGTTAAGGTTAGGCGAGTTGCCGCACTAATAAAGCCGTTGAATATCGTGAGAATTATAGAATCGTTGCTAAATATAGTGTTTATAGGCAGGAGCCTTATCTTCTTACACAATCGTCCTAGAAAGCTTAGCCTCGCACTCTTTAGCAAAGGGAAAGAGCTTAGGAAGAAGAATCTTCTTCTAGTAGCGGAACTAGTCGATTCCGCCGTGCTTAGAGCCTCGTGTAAGCTTGCCTGACTTCTAGTTAAATTTCTATCGAGGTTTAGGTCTAGGAAGTTAACGGAGATATAGTCTTCGTAAGCCGTTATTAAGTTCCTACTCCTCTTTTAGTAGGGGTTCGAGTTCTTCGTTTATTATTGCAATAGCTTCATCTGCTGCCTTCTTCTTAGCAGCAGTCTCTAGTGCCCAGCAGTGGCTTAGGCCCTTCTTATTATATAAAAAGCAGCCCTAGAATATGAATTCTAAGGCGCCTTTCTATCTCTCGCGGATATAGCTTCGAGTAAAGCGCTCGTTGGCTTTCCTCTACACACGATAGCCTCCTCGTCGATGTAGCAAGATAACAGAAGTCTCGTCTGACCAAATCACCTTCTTCCAGTCCTCGAGGGTCCAATCTTAGTGTGCAAGACACCAGGCTAGTCGTTCTTTTCGCATCTTCTTCGTTAAGCCTGGCTTCCTCGTAGGCTTCGTCTTCCGGAAGCCTGCTGAGCGGAGGACTCGCTATACAGTCGTTGCTAAGACCGGGTGCCCTGCTAAGCTCAGCTCGCCAGCAATATCAGCGCAGTTTTTTTCCCTTCCGTATCTATCGCGGCGAACCTTCGTAAGAACCTTATCTTAGATTATAGGCTGCTTAGAGGGACGGCCAGAACGAGGGGCATCTTAGAGCCACTCGTCTCGAAGGGTTAAGGGCAGCGTATCTGGCTTAAAGCCGCGTTGAAGAGCTCGTGTATAGATGCATTTAACTGTTCCAAGAGGCACGCCAGTTAAGGCAGTAACTTCAGCAGCCGATTTCCCGCCGCCTCGAAGCACCACAATAAGGGCTCGAGTCGCGATATCTGTTTTTCGCCTTATTGTTGTTGGGAATGTTGAGAAAGGCGGAGGGGCGGCTGCCGTACAAAATCGCGTGCGGGGCACTCTATTTACTTTGCTACTTCCTTTTTCCTTACAGGGTCTAATTTAGCGTGGCCGATAACTTTTGAAGGCTGCCTCTGTATAGCCGTCAAGGCTCGTATGTGCCTGGCCGTAACAACACTCATCGACATCGGTCATCCTCGCCCTTCACCCACTACCGACATTTTCTCCATCCTAGCCCTTCCTAGCCGCTCACGTCCTCCGCCCTAACGTTTCACTAATTCCACACATAAAAAAAGCCGCCGAACAAAGCCCTCGCCATCCTCCACCACCAAGAGCCACACGTCGTTTTCTTGGACCAGACTCCTTGCTCCCTCCCCGCATTCGGTGCCTCTAGATATAGACGAGGGCATTAACGCCGCTTCCGGCGCTATAGGGCGCACCCTATAGTATTAAGCCTAGCCGTGGTTCCTGCCTGCATATTGGTCTATAGCACACGTTAGCCCGTAACAGTTTCGGTTTCAAGATGGGTCGATCCTTATTATAGTGCGGTCCGCGCATGCCACAGTTCAATTCGCGTTAGCAAACAAAACGACTCGACATGGATCAGCTGGCAGACAGACATTAAGCAGACGAGACGAGACTAATAGAAACAGCCTGGAACGTGGCAGACCATAAGTCAGCACCCCTAGCTTCCGGCACCCCCTACTTCCGGCACCTCCCCACATCACCATCGCGTTGACTACCCACTACATCGTGACCGCGTTTTCTCGTGCATCTCTTATTCAATAATTATAAAATAAATATTATTCGAATCAGCGATGCCTCGTCTTTCTAAATATACCGAAAACCAGCTCCAAGAAGCGCTCGAAGCTATTAATAATGGCATACCTTAGCTCTAAGCTAGTCGCAAGTGGGGTATTCCAAGAACAACCCTTCAGACGCGTCTCAAAGGAGCCCTACCTATGAAGGAGGCAAAAGAGGCATCTCAAAGGCTTAGTCGAGAGCAGGAAAAACACCTCTGTAAATGGGTTCTTGCCCAAGCGGCCCTTGGGCTGCCTCCAACGCATTATCAACTCAGGGAATTCGCCGGCCGCATCATCGTGGCTAGTGGAGACCCCCGCCCGCTTGGAAAACACTGGGTTTCGAGCTTTTTAGCCCGAAACCCAGAGATTAGCACGATCAAAGGTAAATCTCTTGATTCTGCCCGTATCAACGGCGCCTCTGTTAGCGGGATCAAGGAATGGTTCCAATTGCTCAAGCTGCCGGCTATACAGGCAATCCCACCGGAATCACGCTTCAATATGGACGAAACAGGCATCCTCGAGGGCCTTGGCTGCAACGGGCTAGTGCTAGGGAGCTCAGAGAAGAAGGAGGCTATCAAGAAGCGGCTTAGATCGCGTTATTGGACTATAATCGTCGAATGCGTCTCTGCAACGGGCTAGGCCTTGACCCCCTTTGTGATCTTTAAGGGCCAGGACCTCCAACAGCAATGGTTCCCTGACGAACTCGATTTTCTAAAGGATTGGGACTTCGTCACTTCCCCAAAGGGCTGGACAAGCGATTCTATCGCCATTCAATGGCTCAAGTAGGTGTTTATCCCCCAAACAAGGCGCCACCCACAGGGGAACGTTCTCCTTATCGTTGATAGCCACGGGAGCTATTAGACCGACGATTTTATGTATGAATGCTTCAAGAATCGCATTTATCTTCTTTTTCTACTAGCACACTCCTCCCACGTCCTCTAACCTCTTAATATCTCGGTTTTCTCGCCGATTAAGGCTGCCTACCGACGTCAACTCGAAAAAATCGTATCTTTCGACGATATAGCGCCAATTGGCAAGGCTACCTTCCTCCAAGCATATTATCGGGCCCGGCAGGCCGGTCTAACCGAAAAGAATATTAAGGGCGGGTGGCGTGGGTCAGGACTATGGCCAGTTAATATGGCAAAGCCCTTGCTAAGCCGGTTCGTCTTGCCGCAGCCGTTAACGCCGTCAACGCCGTCAAAAAGAAAGAATTCTGGTACCCTAGCTATTTACAATGCCCTCAAAACGCCTAAACGATCACAAGAAGTCCGTCGCCTTATTGTGGGGCTAGAAAACCGCGGTTAAGTTGACCGTACGATCCGACTACTCTTTGGCAAGGTTGGCCGCAGCCTTGATGAGCAAAATTGGCAGCTTGCAGCCTCCCAACTTCGAATACAGCAGCTAGAGCATCAATTACATCGTCTACGGCCTCAAAAACAGAAAAAGGTCCCTCAGGACCCTAATGGGCGGTTCGTACAGATTGAATAAGTTATAAAGACGAAGAAACAGCTCGAGCGCACGCTTGAGCCGGCTGCCGCCGCCACAGCCAATCAGAACGCAGGATTTAAAGCTCTTTGCAATAGCTGGCAGCTAGAGTAGCCAGAAACACCAAATTTAATTATCGTGATGTTAAAATGCGGCTTCAATTGCGTTTAGAATGTGCCTGCCTTGGTGCTGCGAAGGGTGCCGGAAGTGGGGGGTGCCGGAAGCTAGGGGTGCTGACTTACTTCAGCTGCAAAAAAAAAGGACGCTAAATACTAGAGAAATTGGCCTTCGAGCAGGCCTATCATGGAATCGTCGGCCAAGGCCGGATAACGAGTGGAAATAACTATGGGGCTCAGGTGGCATAGAGAAATACACTGTAACTGTTGGCTAGTATAGGCACCGCTGTTAGTAGGTCACCTGAAGGATCAAGGGAGGGCCACCTGAAGGATCATTATGAGGCCATGTATCGGGAACCCATAAAGACCTTACGTATGGGGCCAGTTTGGTGCCTATGTAAGTCACCTGAGGGTCCCTCTTACTACGGCATAAATAGGGCCCTATGGCCGATTCTTTCTAGCTAGATCATGCATCTTTATCCCTTCTTGTGCTGCCCCCAGCTCATGAGTACCAGAATAACAGTCCATCGACAGCTCCTTACACATAGCCCAAACTAGTTCCAATGCCTAGCCAGCTCAACCCATGCTAAAGTCAGACGCCACGCTGTTTTGATCTTTGACATAGCCTCCACGCCGGTCGTGCGCGTTGGGCAGCCCTGGTTCGTGCCATGTTGTTATTGTGTGGTTGTTCCCCCTGACTGGGGGCTACGTAGCTGGTCTCTGCTTGCTTTTATTCATAAAGAAGCCAGAACCGAACTCACGACCCCCTAGGGCCGTGTCGGGTTTGCGCGAAGCGCCGCCGGGCTCATAAACTATTGGATAACTATTACGCTACTAGCAAAAGTGTAGGCCAATAATGGCACGTATGCGACACTTTCCTATCTATCTTCCTGACGACTCCTGTTCCAGATGCAAGCCATCCCCGTCGATCCTCATAAGCCTTATAATGTGGCAAAGTAGCGGCGGTATTCTTTCCTCTAGAGTAATGCTAAGTTGGAGGTATAAGAATCATAATATTAACAGGCTTTTAGTTTGAGGTAGAGCTATAGGTGTTAGATGAGATATGAACCGTACGATGTATTAAAGGAGTCATATCTCTCGTCTCGATTCTACAGTTATCCAATGCAACTATTGTTCAAATCATCAAAGTGTATACTTAAACATCAGCACCATCCATCTCCCACGATGCAATTAAACACCATGCAAGTCCTCCTCCTTTCCAGCCTCTCCGGTAGGGCCTTCGCCGCCTCTGGTTCTGGCCACTCGACTCGCTTCTGGGACTGCTGCAAGCCTTCTTGCGCGTGGTCCGGCAAGGCTACCGTCAACAAGCCGGTCCGGACCTGCGACAAGAACGACAGCCCCCTTGGTGACCCAAACATCCAGAGTGGATGCAACGGTGGCACAGCCTTTACGTGCACAAACAACTCCCCGTGGGCCGTCAACGACACCCTCGCATACGGGTTCGCTGCCACCGCCATCACCGGCGGAACCGAGTCTAGCTGGTGCTGTGCATGCTATTCGTACAGACCTCACCTGCCTTCCTCTTTCTCGCACCCAGCTAACTCGCTTCATAAATCAAGGCTCAAGTTCATGTCTAGCACTGTCGCGGGAAAGACTATGGTGGTCCAGTCGACCAGCACGGGGGGCGACCTATCCAACAACCACTTCGACCTCATGATGCCCGGCGGCGGCGTAGGTATATTCGACGGCTGCACGCCCGAGTTTGGCGCCATCCCCGGCGACCGCTACGGTGGCGTGTCGTCGAGGGACCAATGCAATCAGATGCCGGCGAAGCTCAGGGCTGGTTGCTTCTGGCGGTTCGACTGGTTCTCGAATGCGGATAATCCAGACTTTACGTTTGAGCAGGTAAAGTGCCCGTCGGCGCTGACTGCCATTACGGGTTGTGTGAGGAGCGATGACTCGAGGTTCCCGGAGGCACCGTGAAGCTCAATGCACTTAGGCTCCCAGGATACGACACATCAACCGAAAAGTGGCCATTGGAAGGAGGCAAGTAAAAAACATCATTAGTCAAACAGTCATGGCCACATATCGTGTGAACGGAGTATTGAGGTGGGAGCGGTTGACAAGAGTCAAGAAGAGCTGGCAAAGCCGTCTTCGATCAATTGAATGAGATTTATCTAAAGAGAAAGAGCTCAATGACTAGGTGCACTAAGTCGTGCAGCTCTTTATAAGAGCCTCTAATCGTACGCACCCAACTCTCAACCCGTTCGCACCCCGCCCACCTCGACAGTGGATGTAACGCTAATAGCCACTAAAATTTCAGCACAATTTAGTGGCTGACCAGCCTATCGTTCGGTAATCAACCCCCTAAACATTCCTGCGAAGTTCTTCCATAACTTACTTTCCATCGTTAATGACAAGATCTTATATAGAAAGGCCCTTGCAATACTTCGCACTATATGGGAAAACACTCTATCGTTTAGTATATATACATAATAACATGGTTCACCACTATTTAGACAGAATCAAGAGTCATTCGTAGCCCGATCCACTTGGGACGTTCACTCGGTCGCCAGCTAACGCGCGCTCCTGCGGCGGTCCGGCGTCGCCCCGGCCCCCTCGCGCGAGAGAAGTAGGATTTTCGAGTCTTTCAGAGTCTAAAAGTCGGTACTGGAAGGCACGCAGTCTTTTCAGCTGCATGGCGGTTTCCAGTCCCTTCGATGCCGCTCGTGCCATATGCTCCTTATATCGTAGCTTTGCATCCATGACCACTCCCAGCACCTTGGCGTTTTCCTGTGGCCAGATCGTTCTTCCTTTGATAACAAATGGACTTGAGCTAGAGCGCTCGGCCATTCGTGTAAAGTGAATGATGGTCGTCTTGTCGCCCTCGAACATCGCCCCGCTCCGCTTTTCCCACTCTAGGGCACGGTCGATGATAGACTGTATTCCGTCCCGGTTCGACTGCTTATAAGCTTAATATAAAGCTTTATAAGCGATAGAAGATCGATCCTTTACTTTAATAAAAGGACCTTAAAGCTAACTTAAGTACTAATAAGAGTCCTTTAAAGCTCTCCCTTATCCCCGATCCTATTTCTATACTATATAACCCTTTTATATAAGAGGCTTAATATAATATAAAGTATTTATACTATTAACTTCGCTAATAATATAAATATAGTTAGTATTAAACTTAATAAGGCTATTATAGTAATATACTTAAAGGAGGCTTAGAAGGTATATATAAAGTAAGTAACTAAGTTCGCGGTTACTTTTAAACTATTAAAGAGTAAGTTAATATACTTTATATAAAGGAGATAAGTAATAATAACGCTAGTTTACTATAAGTTTAACGTAGTAATATTAGTTTAAAAGGCCCGCTTACTAAGGGTTTAAGTATATTAGAAATTATATTAAAAAGTATACTTAAAATAGCTTTAAGTAAAGATAAAGCGCTAAACTATAGCCCTAACTAAGCTCGCGGCGTCTATATAGGGCTATACCTTACTGCGCGCTAAGGAAGTCTATAGTAAGGTAATCCGGTCCTTAATCTCTTATATTATAGTTATATTTTATAAGATAACGCCTATAGGGGGGAAACTATATAAGATTATATAGGACCTAGTATAAGACTAGTTAGCTTACCTTTAAGTAGTAATAAGCGCCTACTACGCGACCTTAGTTTACTAAGTAAAAGTAAAAGTATAGGTGCCCTTAATTAACCTTTACTTAAACTAAAGAATAATAAATACCTTTTAAAGGTTAAAGGACTTAGGGCTCCTAGGCTAAATTTAACGCGCGTTTAATATAGTCGTAGATATACTTAAAAGGAAGCGATACTAAAGAGAGAGCAGGCCCTTAACGGCGCTATTACTTAGTAGGCCCCCCCTCGCGGAGGAGATAAAAAGGGTCTAAAGCTAGATAGGATCGGATAACCTCTTAGATAAAGCTAAGTCGCTTAAAAGGCTAAATAAGAAATAAGCCGCTTAATAGAACGCTAAGAAAAACGTAATCTAATAATACTAAACTACCTTCTACCTTACTAACTTCCTACTATAGTTTAATAAGGTAATAATACTAAACTATTATAAGGGCCTCCTTAAGTATATTAATATAGTAATTACTTAGATATATATAAGAAAGATTAAGCTTAATAACTTCCTCTTTAACTAATAGGTCCTTAGTATAATCTCGCTAATTTATACCTATAAATAAAGATTAAGATACTATCTATTATACGATAATTAACTACTTATTAACGATAAAGGTAAGGGAGTCCCTTTTAATATAGGCCTAGGATATAAGTAATATAAGAGTAGGCCTTTAAAGGAAAAAAATAATAGCGCCGCTAATATAGTAGTTCCTTTACTTAGGTAAGCTTTATTAGTTTAACCTAGCTTAGAGGCTATATATAGATATACTAGATAATAAGACCGGGGTCGCGCTAAAGATAGAGCGGCCTTAACTAAGACTACCTTAGCTAACTACTTCCCTTATTAAAGCGACCTAAGAAAGGGAGAGGACTTATAATAATAAGACTATAGTATTTACTAAACTAAATCTAAACTAAGTAAAAGCCTTACTACTTAAACTATAAACTAAATAGAACTAATAAGACCTAACTAAGCTAGCCTTAATAGCTATAGAATAAGACCTACTATTAAAAGACTATAACTAAATAAAACCTAACTTAAAACTAAATTAAGATAGAGCTAATAACTAGCCCTTAAACTATAACCCTAGCTTAACTTATTAGTAGTAACGTCCGCCTTACTATTATAATAGGAATAATAAGACCCCCCTAAGGTAGTAAATAGGGTATAAGAAGGAGTAACCTAAGACTTATAAGGAGTATAAGGACTACTATTACTATAAGAAGACTAATAATAGCTAGCTAAGCCTAACCCTAAACCTAAACTAAAGCTAGCTTAAACGGCTAGCTTATAAGATAGAGTAATAACTAAGGTCTATACTAAGGTAAGACCTATACTAATAGCGGCGCGGAGGCGTTTACTACGGCCTATACTATAACTATAAATCTAATTAAGGTTAAGATTAGTAATAATCTTAGCTAAGACTAAACTATAATAGCTATAAAAACGTTACTAAACGAAGTTAAGAGCGTTAGTAGGGTCGCTAGGCGATATAAGATAGGGACGCTTTAAAGTAAGCTCGGCGATAAGAGAACTACTAAGCTATAGCTTAGCGTTAGAGCTAATAAAGGGCGACGAGGTAGAATCCCTTACTAGCTTTAATATAACTATACGTATAAGAATAACAGCGGACTCCTTAGCCTTAGCCTTAAATAAAGCCTTAAATATAATAGCTACTTTACCCTTACCTTTACCCTTACCCTTCCTTTTATTAAAAGGGTTTAGGGCTAGACTAAACCTAGTAAGATTAAAACTATTATCCTTACTATTATAGTTATTGCTTATAATAAAATAAAAATAGTTAGCGAGATCGTTAACTACTATAAGAGTCTTTTAAGTAACTAAGAGTAACTTAGGCTTAACCTAAGCTAAGGTTTTAATAGTATCGCTAAACTTACCTAAGTACTTCTTTAAGGACTTATATATATAGCGGGTATTATCTATAAAATAGGTAAAAGCTAAGGCGAGCGTCTTAATATTCTTAGCGACTATAGCTAGATTAAGGGCTAACTTACTTAACGCGCCTTTACCTTTAGCGGCGGGGGCCTTTTAACTAGCGTAAATATAAGATTTTAAAGTAGCGCGGTAAAGGCGCTTTTATACTAAGCCCTTAATAAGGGAGGAGCTATTAACCTTAAACTAAGCTTAGTAAAAGGTATAAGCGGCCTCCTTACCTTTAAAGGTAATCTAAAATATAAATTAGTACCGAACTTAGACTATACCTTAGCGGGATAAGGTTACTTACTTAATAATAAGACTAGTTAAAGTTAGCGTAAGTAATATATACTTTAGCTTTTATAGCTAGTAAAGTTAGTAAAAAAGTATTAAAAGTAAGACCGACCTAAGATAAGACTAGGACTAATACTTATAGGACTAGTTTTAATAGCTAGTAAAGGACTTATAAGTAGGCTTACTAGTAAGGCGCTTAATATATATAAAATATAGGATAGAGCGCTTTAATCTTACTATAGTAGCGACTTTCTTATAAAAAGGGGGTTTTAAAGGAAGTAAACTACTACTACCTAAGTTAGCTTCTTAGTTAGATATAGCGATATAATAGTAAACGAACTAAATACGGTACTAATAAGACCTAGGGATATAGAAATAATATAAGTAAGAAATCGGGGCCTATAAAGGAGATAATAAATAAAGAGGTAGGAGGAGGTAGGAATAAAACTAAGGGGGGAGGGTAGGTATATATATATATAAGCCGGGCGCGCGTAATTAGTAACTATATTATAAACGGTAAATATAGGCCGCCGCGCACTTAATTAAGAAGTTATATAGCTAAATAAGAACCGATTTTCGATTAATAGAGCTAGCTAACTAAATTTTAATTAGCCGGCCTTACTTAAGAGCGACCTATACTAGTGCCCGGCCTAATAACTAAATATTACCTACCCTACTAACTAATAGACCGATAAGCTAATACGGCCGCGGCTATATAATAGCGACGCGGGAGCTATAAAGAATAAAGGCGCCTATAAGTTAAGCCCTTAAAGAGAGACTACTACCTATAACCCTAGGCCTAGGCTAGTAAGCCCGGGCTATAGCCGCTTAAGATAGTAGCGGCTATAACCTAAGAGGGCTTACGCTAAAATATAAATACGTAGGAGAAGCCTATAATAGCTAGCGTAAATTTCCTATATACTATTACTATAACCTTATTTAAGATAGACCTATATTAAAAGAAGGGATAGTTTTCCCTTAGGTACTTTAGTTTTTCCTTCTTATTTAATATCGAAGTTTTAAATACCTTTAGCTAGGTCCTTAATATAATCTTAATAATAATAATAATAATAATAAAATATATAGTTTCCTTATTATAATTAA